CCCTTCCCCTTCCCCTTCCCCCTAAAAAAGTATGCTTAGGGTATTCTTACCTTCTTTTTATTGGCAGTAGCATGTGTGTACTTGCCCATATTCTTCCTTAGAACTCATGCAGTTCTGTCCTTAGATACCTTTCAAAAAGAAATGTGTAAAATTATTCTTCTAGATGGAAGTGTTTTTGAAGAAAAATGCTTTTTATACCTCTGATGAAAAAAATAAAATATTGAGTGGAAAATAACACCTATAAACAAAAAAAGGATTTGACCTTCTCTATATATCTGGCTCCACTTGATGTTAGTAAATCTCCAAACCCACCTATACATGGGTTTGGACCTATATTCCTTGTCACCTGTAGGAAATCCTTCTTCAAATTCTTCTTTTTCAGTGTTCAGAATGCTGTGGAGCTATTGAAAGTTCATTATAAAGCCTCCATATAGAAGCAGATTATTTAGAATGTAAAATATTATTTTGGAAATAAAAGTATACTCCAAATATATATTTGTTGTAATTTGATAGCTTAAACCTCATTTAAAACTTGTTTCATACAGGACATAGACATAATGACTGGCTTGAAGAAATTGCTCCATATTGTCTGAAAAACCCAATTTAGAATTACTTCAGTTATAATTGTCTGAAATATAAACTCATACTCAATTTATATGCTGTTTCTTCTTATCTCTGCATAAGTGTTTAAGAATATATTCCCTAATGTTTAGATAACCAATATGCAAATGAGTTGATGTATCCATAGGAAGTGAAAAAGAAAGCAAAAGTGAGGTAGAAATACGAACCTTTAGGAAAATAGTAAGAGTGTTGTAAAGTGAATTAAGGGTTCTACCGTATGTATCTTCTTGCTCTTTGAGAGTTTAGATGCGTTTATTTAGCAGGACCTTCAGCGTCTTTGTTTGCAACTCTAGCATAATCAGTTTTACTTTTAAGTTCTTCGTTTAAGTTTTAAATTAGTATTATTTTACAGCTTCCATAGTTGTTTATGTTTGCACACAGTGATTATATTCAGCATTGTGTTTTTCAATTGTTCTTCACATGTGCAAATGACTACATAGGGTGACAAGGCAATGAGATCCCTAGGGTAGTGTAGATTAGTATGAAGGATCATTAACCTGATGTGTACTACGTAGGTGGATTTTATTCTGAATTATAGTAAATCAGCATTTGGATATTGTCACAAGATCACATGCACAGCCTGATGAAAGCTGTAATTCTTGAAACAGAAGTTATGTGAAACGTGAAAGAAATCTGATACAGCATTTTCCCTGGATAAAAACATTTTGACATGCTATTGTAGGAGAGCTGCTATTTTAAGTCCTCTCTAGCAAATAAAGTAGCTTTTTATAATCAGCATGCCTCAAGCCTAATTTCTTTTTGTTCCTTCTATAAATGAGTTATTCATACATTGATACAGAATACTGCTATTACTATGTTAACTGCCTTATTTCTTCTAAATTATATGTGCAGCTTCAATTGCAATTAAACCAAGATCTAGGCATCTTGCATCAAGATGATGGCTCATCAAAAAATAAAAGAGGAGTTCTTCCCAAGCACGCTACAAATGTGATGAGATCTTGGCTTTTTCAGCACATAGGGGTAAGAACTGAACATGATCAGGAGTCACAGGTTTTTATGTAACTCCTTTATGTGGTCTCTGATGATTTTGCTTCATAAAAAAGGTGAATTTATTCTGTTGTCATTTATGTAATCTCAGTTTGGTTTTCCCTGAAGTCATTTGGAATAGTTCCACAGTCTAATGTTGGTTAATTTTTATTATTATTTTAATAAGTATATTCCATTTTTACCTCATGATCTCAATAAACATTGTTAAAAGGGATCTTTCTTCATTTCAAGAAATTTTCAAGACTATTTTTCATAGTCTTGAGAACTTAATGTCCTCTATGCCCTGGTTCATGGCACAAGGAAAAATAGTTCCATCTGTGTTTATGGGTGTTTTTTTGTAGAGGAGAATTTCAAATTTTCTGACTTTATCTTTTTTCCAGTAATCCCTCTAATGTGTACCAAGTGTGTTACTATCTGCTCGTGCTTTTAGTAGAATGTCTTTCCTTTGCATAAATACCCTGAAAGGAAAAATGGGTCTCAAGTTATATCACAATCTTCAGTTGATTGGTATTTTGTCTTTTACAACTATTTAGCAACAAACAAATGATACAAGGAAACTGCATGTATGCCTCTTATGTTATGTACATTCTCTTAATCCGTTTAGTTCGGAGTAGCTTTATTTAACTATAAAACGTTTGTCAGTACTCTCATGTGACATTGCCTTTAGACAGCATAACTAATGAGATCTTATCACATGCTGTGTTGCCCAGGGATCACGCTGTTTAATAAAGACTGTCAGCTATGAGAAACTTTTTCGTCTGAATTACACATCAGCAGTTTAATGGTATCATATACACTTTCAATGATAAAATCAGTTTTGTGTAGTAAAGCACTCTTTGTGAAATGCTTTTTATCTATAAAAGTTTGTGAGGTTTCTAAAGTTTGGTTTTTAATGAGTCATATGGTCTTAATCTAGCAGTTTTAATCAGTTGTAATAAAGGAGCCCTTATTTTTGATAAGGTGATGAAACAAGCTTATGCCTTTTCTGTTTGCTTTTTGTCCTGTTCAGCATCCATATCCAACAGAGGATGAGAAGAAACAGATTGCAGCACAAACAAATCTGACACTACTCCAGGTTAACAACTGGTAAGAGCAAAAACGCTTACTTAATGTCTGTCGTCTCCACATGCTTACAAGACAGGGAAATACTTAAGAGTGTAACTTGGATATCTGGAGTTGAACTTACTGTTCTACGTATGTTACAAAATATCTATGAAAACACAAGCATTATGCGCTGATACACCAGCATATCATTTTTACAGTAAGGTATAATAGTACTTGTGCCATTTAAGTTGTATAAGGACTCCAGAAGACTTTGCAACATTAAGGAATTGCATTCTGTTCTATTGCTGAAAGAGATGCAAGTACTCTAGTGTCTCTTCTGCAAGTAAAGAAATTGAAGTTTAAAGGCAGCTAGTGACCTGTGGCTCTGAAAAGTGTTCTCTGGTAATCATGGTTGCAAATGTTGAAGAAGTTACTGTCAACAGATACTCATTCTGCTCTTGTATCAAAGGATGCTATCCTCTGAGCAGTGATGTCCAAATGGAAAGTGTCAGGACCTCAACTACTCTAGTTCGTGGTTCAACATGTTTTAGCATGTCTTATCTTCACCAGAGGTTTAAGATAGTACACCTGCCCTTGCCGAAGAGAGGAGTGAGAGTGTCAACATGCATCCTATTCTGCTTGTGGCATTGGTTCCTAAAGTTATTGCAGCTAAGTCCAACAGGGATCTTCCTCAGATTTCAAAGATGACGCCTGACTGCATGGCTGCAGAGGGGTCCAGTGGGGAAATACTCAAGATAGTGGCAGTACACTGGTTCCAAAAGTGGAACAGTGTAACTATACCTGTGTGACACGGTAGTAATGGAGCTCTTTGGTACTGGGATCCAACTAATGTCTCTGCAAAGCGATGTGTTACACCGTGTGGACCTGCCAGCTGCACTCTACTTTCTTCCATTGCAGGTGAAGATGGGTCCTGATGTGTTTTATGAGATTTAGCAAGGGATGCTGTCCTCAGTCACAGCTCCTTGTCACAGCTAGCTCGTTGAAATTGATTCAGTTAACTGCTGGTAGCTAAGTGAGGTGTGGTTCAAGTATTTTCTTGTTCACTAGTAGAAAGGGGAAGGGCAGCAATTAGCATGCTAAAGTAAACAAGTGAAAATCAGGGAACAAAAAGGAATTGGGAAAGATCTGTAAAATGTGTTTGCTATTGTCTCCTGGATCAGGAACCAGACCTTGGAAAGCTAGGGAGCCTATAAAATAAGGAATACAGGAGCTTAAGGAAGTAAATGAAACCAGACCAAACAGACTAGGTTAGGCAGGGGGCTAGGTTTTAGGTGAACTCTAATGAGAGGAGTATCAGCTTTCTGAGCTGTGCTGTCAGCAAGTTTTCTGGTACTTAGTTTTTAATAAGATCCTGAATGTACATCTGTCATGCTGTCTGGGGAATTTGCCCCTCTGAGGTAGGGGAAAAATGCTGCTAGCAGCAATACGATAGAAGTACTTTGTTAGCTAGTTTGCCAAAATCAAAGGATGCCGGTGTTCTAGGAGCAGTTTTACACGTTAAAAAGAATGTCAAGCCAAGCTGGTAGGGAGAAGATTTTTATATTCCTGATTTTGTTTTTCCTGCTGCATACTTTGTGAATCTGAGAGAGAGAGAATTTACAGTCAACTGGTCATAAGTACTTCTTGCTTTTGATTGTGTTCAGGTTTATCAATGCTAGAAGGCGAATTCTTCAGCCAATGCTGGATTCCAGTTGTTCTGAAACTCCAAAAACAAAGAAGAAAACAGCTCAGAACCGACCGGTTCAGAGGTTCTGGCCTGATTCTATTGCCTCAGGAGTTGCTCAGCAGCAATCTAATGAGCTCACAATGTCAGATGGTAAGGAGAAATGGCTAAACCACAGATAATAAAGTTAATTCCTCTGTAACAGGGAAATGAAGGGTTAGATGCCTTTGGGGGAAGGGGAACTTCTTGATATTTCAGTATAAATGCGGTTTTGATCTGGAAAAACATAATGGAAATGCGTCCATTTTTCCATCTTTAAAAATTTTCTGTTTTGGGAAGATATTTTATTGGAATTTATGTTGAGAGACTGTTGATGTTATTTCAAAAGTTAAAAAAAAGACAGGACAAAGGTTAGATGTGCGTCTAAGTTGTCTCAGTATGTGTATGCACATCAGTAGCATTGTCTGATTAGCAGTATTGGACTGCAGTTTCGATTCCATAAATCCCCATTGCGTTCACATTCCTTTGACTATTGCTAGAGGGATTGAGCGTCTACGATTTTATATATGCCTCATGTTTCAAGTTGAACATTGAGAAGCAGAGAAATATAGAGCCTCCCAAAACTTTGTCTTCAATAACTTCCTTAGCATCAGATCAAATGAACAGACTCAATTTAAGAAAGATAAATAACTGCTTTAATCTCAGAACCATCTTTTCTGTCCTGTTGCCTGCTGCTTTGTTCCTTTCCAGTTTGTAGCACCCCTTCCCTCAGGCTTCACTGGATCTGACAACAGCTTTATCCATTTAAGTCACCTTGAATCTCTAGAAACACTCCCATTTTTCCACAGTGAATTAAGATGGAATACTTTGCAGAAGTGGTCTTGTGATGACTTGATTGGAGAATCGCTGTAATCGGTGTCCGTAACACAGCTAAGTTTGAGATTCCTGGCCAACTTAATTCTGGCATTTCCTGATGTTGAAGTGTTTGACAACTTTATAGCTTTTATTTTAATTCAGTTTCTTAGGTTTTACTCCTGTTGATTAGAAACAAACTCTGTTACATACAAACATGTATTAATTAAAATTAGAAACCAACAAAGATGCTAAAGTACTATGATTGTGCTTCTCCAGGTGCTGTTGTAACAATTACAGCTCCAGTCAACATGAATGTAGACAGTCTCCAGTCTTTGTCATCCGATGGTGCTACTTTGGCTGTTCAGCAAGTTATGATGGCAGGGCAAAGTGAGGATGAGTCCGTAGACAGCGGTGAAGATGATGGAGGAGATCTCTCAACAACAAATATCAGTGGGCTGGTCTTGGATAACAGCGATTCTCTGCAGTAGGAAGCAAGAGAATGTGACAAACAGTTTAGGAGAAAGAATGGACTGACTGACTGACTGTTTTTATAGTTTGCACAGCAAACATTTTACACAAGTTTTATTTCTAATATGTTTTATATGTAGATATAGAAGGGTGCACTTTTTTGTATTTCATAGTAAGCTTAAAGAGTGTTTTTGCAGGTGCAGCAACTTCTTTCAAATGTGTTTTTTCATTTCTTTTCCTTATTTCAGAAAATTATATGTAGTAATATAAAGAACCACATAAGCACCCCTTTGTTCTATGAATTGGAAGTGCTGCAATTTTTAAAGAATTATGCAGTTTCAATTAGTGCTGTTATTTAACGCAGCTCTTGATGGGCAGGTAATGTAAATTTAAAGCATGTGACACTAGTGTGTGGAACTCGATCATTAAGTTAGATGCATATATTTGAAAGATGCTTCTGCACCTTAAAAACTGCTAGTCTGAGGTGGACAGCAACACACATAAAAAGAAAACCTTGATGTGTGATTCAGTAGCGAATGTATGGCAATTTAAATAAGTTTAGTTTCTCTCATAGTCCGTGAGCCTGTTTATCATTTGCTATAAAAACTCCTATTTTTACCTTGCCGGGGTTATTGGATAAAAAAATATTTTTATAAATTCACTAGGAATTGGGATGACGACTGTACTAAGCAGGAGGAAAAAAAATAATAATAATTTCCAGAGGGGAAAAATAAATGTTTAGTATTCCTATTTGGAAGGTCTGAAAACTGACCAAATTTAATAAACAAGCCTACGCTAGCATTCTATGATTCTCAGCTATCCCACAGTGATACACTATATTTGATAGTAACATAAGAAGGGCCACTGTTTGATGGGATTTTGATATTGTCAAACATTGATTTATATTATGTGTAAACTAATACATTAACTCTGTATCTAGACTTGTATCTGAAGATATTTGCTAAATGAGTATTCAGGTAAGTAAATTCAAATACCCCCAACTTTTCCAGTTATTAGAGAAATTTAACAGTTTATAGTTTATACAACTGAATCTGAAAAATGAGAAGTTGCCTACTATACAGTCATGAATTCCGCTATCACTCTGCTATTTTATTGCATTTGAAGTACTTTCCCCTAATACAAAAAGAAATACAAGTTACGGATTTATATAAAATTTCTTAAAATCTAAAGGTTACTACCAGGATATACAGCAGGCTTTATTAGAGTAGAAAACCCTTGTGTGTCATTTAAAAACTTAAGAGCTAGTGATGAGAACACTTTTTTTTTTTTGAGTGGTAACAGTTAATTTCTTTTTTTTTTCCCAAAGTTTGGAGTCTGTGTCTTTCTGTCCATGAACACTTACTTTTGGAACTTTGTTTTTCCCATTGTTAAGTGCAAATGACAGACTCCAAGAGTCTCATGGTATGCTCAGCGTCCTCTTTTCCCCCTGTCCATTTGTCACAACGTTGAGTTAGATCAAAGCTAGAACTTCCTTCTGATTTAGACCAAATCTAGTTACATTTCTAAGGTAACGGGGGAAAAGATGTTAGCTTTTGGAATCTCTAGACATTGTACTTGAATGAAGCCCTTTGACAGATGCAAATATTTAATTGAATACTTAATTTCTGCTTCACAAAACACTCAGGCATGTGCTTAGGTCCCATTGATTTCAATAGGATTAATGCATGTACTTCTTGACATGCTTAAATGATTGGAAGCTGGTCGTTAAAGATTGTCTTCCAAGGCAAGTGTAAGTTGGTATGAAGAAAATATTCAGATGGAAATGTCAGTACAGTAGCATTGGCATACATACATGGAGAAAAATACTTCAATGACTAGTAGCTGTTTTGAAAAATTGGTGTTGGGTTTTACTCAACACAAGTGATGTTTCTGCTATGGGTTTCGCTTATTCCTGGCTGAGGATCTTGCTTCTTAGTTCAAATACTCTAATGATCTCCTCCCAGCTGGAGTGGTAATTTCTAAAGGATTTGTTTTCTTCTAACTTCTCTGCTTTGCCACTAATGTGCCATGTTTGTTAACAGAGCGTAGTAAATGAACAATGAAAGATTTAATGAGGAAGGCTTGACATAGCATAACTATCTCAAAGGCTGTTGTCAAATCCAATTTGACCCCACAACATTTAAAAAGACAGATACCATGTACAAGTCACGCTGCTTTGGAAACATTCAACCTACTGCTCCTACAGAAGATTCCTGAGATGCCTAGAATGGAGAGACACATTCTATATTTTTCTTTTTAGCTGTTTTTGGTTTAACTACGTAAGTGCTTCATCACCCCAGTTTCCATTATATAGTATGTTATATTTGTTAGTTTGTTTGGGGTTTTTATTTGCCCTTGTTCATATTTAATAGTGCGTTAATCCTTGTACTTCTAGCATGTAGGCAGGTGAATAGTCTACTTCTCAGTGTATACAGGCCTATGGACAAATATGTGCTTTTCCAAGTCAACCTATGCTGGAGGAACAGGTCATTTCTCACTCCTGCCTTTTTCTGTCTGACCACTTGTTGCTGCCTCAAATCTAGCAGCAGAGCTTTCCCCAGCCTGCTTTGAGGTTAGTCTCAAAGTTAGTTAGGAAGCAGCTCAGCCAGCAGATCTGTTGAGGTAGCAAGTAGCCAGCAGTGAAGGGAAAGGCAAACCAAAATGGGCAAAATTTCCATAGTTTGAAGGTAATGTGGCAATGAGCGTTGCCCAAACTTCCAAACAATGAGAACTGAGATCTTAAAAAGAGAGAGGGTATTAAAACAATTTAATATCTGTACAGCTGGCTGGAAGAGAGTTCAGGAGTATGTAGTTTACGTGCCACTTGGAACTCAGTTGGAAACAACCAGACATCAGGGTTTGCAAACTTCTAAAAGCTTATTTTTTAGAAAGAAACTGTTATCTGATTAGCCTTTTTATTCCCCCTACCTTACAGGCAGCAGAAGTTTTATTCTTCTGAAACATTTGCGACCTTGTGTTCAGCTAGTTTATCAATAACTGGAAAGTGAAGTTGTCGGAATTTACTGCGAAAGGGGGAACATGAACTAGTTTTACTGTCAAATTAGAAACATAAAAACATTGGGACATTAATTTCTTAAAACTGAAAAGGCTTTACCAATGTAATCAAAGGTATTGCTTAACATAAGGAACTCAAACCTTTTCTTTTTAATTCAGTGAGAATTCTGTACTGGATGCAAACTGCGCAGAAGTGCTTGTTCTTTTCACAATTCAAAAAAAAAAGAGCAGTGTATTTCCTTTTTTGCTGTATGAGAAAGATTGCTGGTTTAAGCAAAGCATCACTATTCAGGAAATGTACATTTTTACATCAGTTAAAAAGTCTTTATATGGGATCTAACTTTAAACCCATGTATAATTCCTCCCCTGCCCCCAATTAAAGTCATATTCATATGCAGTAGAGCTAATTTGTTTTTTAAATCAGTATAATTCTTCTGCATTTATGATTATTGAAACTTTTAACCCAAAACCGGGTTCTTAGCCTAATTTTTCCAAGATTTTTTTAACAGGCAAGGCAACTTCCAGATGTTCTTTAACTTTAGAAACATCGCATTTTAGCAAATCAATCGCCGATTGATCAGGATATATTTTTTTAATGACTGTTCCAAAGAAATAATCATGTTGGAAAACATTTAGAATTGACAGGCATCTGCAGAGAGTTTCTTAGATCTGGATATTGGGTCAAAGTAGAGTCCTGCTAACCTCAGGAAAACTCTGTAAGGCTGCATGTTGGGCTGCTTTTACCTGCAAGAGAATTGGTTCTTTGTCCTGGTACCTGGTCACTAGTAGGAGCCTTTTGGAGAGCCCTCCAACTTTATCTTGCCTGCATACCTAGGTTTTCTTCCAGTGGAAACTAGGGTATGGACAAAGGGGTTAGAAGAGCAGCAATGCTTGTTGACCGGGTGTGCAGCACATACCATTTTGATGTTCAGAATATGGCCAGAAGGCAGACCTACGCTGAGGAATTGGAGTTCCCAGTTCCTGTGCTTTAAAAGCAACTTCAAGTTCATGGATATTCTAGTGGAGTAAGGCTACAAAGACTTAACGCATGAATGTCTTCCTTATATCTAATCTAAATCTGCCCTCTTTCAGTTTAAATCCATTGCCCCTTGTCCTATCACTACACGCCCTTGTAAAAAGTCCCTCTCCAGCTTTCCTGGAGGCCCCCTTTAAGTACTGGAAGGCTGCAATAAGATCACCCTGGAGCCTTCTCTTCTCCAGGCTGAACAGCCCCAACTCTCTCAGCCTGTCTTCATAGCAGAGGT